TAACAAAAAAACGCTATGCTTTTCTATGTTCCCTGATGGTGAGGGGATAAAAATCTGTTTTGGGCCCAATTAAAAAAACTGGCCCAAACAATTTAATAACTGATCTGAAATAATGTAACAGCTGGCTAAACAGGAACAGAATAACATAGTCTAAATTTATGTAATGGTGAGCTACAAAGACCTCAAGGCAAATTTGTAAACTCCCCACAGAAAGTCTGCTATTCCTTGAGAAGTAAATGAGAACAAGCTTTATTTTTCTATGCTTTAAAGATATTAAAACAGGCTCAGAGTTTCTTTTAAATATATTTTGCCAAAACATTTGCCCCTGACCATGTGTTTTTCCTTTCCACCTTTTTGGTATTTTCTGAGTTTTCAAAAACAAACGTTGTTTGATTTAGGGACAGACTGGGAGCTCTGCACACGGTGCAGTTCCCGGCCCCGAAGGGGCCCGGCTCCCTGGGCCGCGCCGCGCACACGCGGTAAAGACTCCCGTGTGGGGCTGCAGGCAAATCCTAAATAACCTACGAGCATTTTATCAAACGGCAGGTCGTATTACATCAATTATTTTTATTTTCTAACAAGAAAAACTATATTATTTAGCCCTGGATGGCATAGCTCAGTGGATTGAGCACGGGCTGGGAACTAGTGTCCCAGGTTCGATTCCCAGCCAGGGTACATGCCTGGGTTGCAGGACATGACCCCCAGCAACCGCACATTAATGTTTCTCTCTCTCTCTCTCTCTCCCTCCCTAAAAATGGGATGAATAAAATCTTAAAAAAAACCATTATAATTACACTTCTGTTAAAAAAAGAAGAAGAAGAAAAACTATATTATTTAAATCAAAGAAGCCCTCCATTGCTTGGTATTTCTCCTCTTCACTTCTTGGTAACTTCCAATGGCAGAACTCGAACACTTCCCTAGATGACCGACCCAACATGGGCAAGACCAGTACGGTGACAGCAACAGCCTTGCAGCACAGGTGGCAAACACAGGGCCCGCGGGCCCAGTCCGGCCCTCCACCTGGTTTTATCCGGCCCGGCACCTTGTTTCGACCCGGCGGCAGCGCCGAGCTCTCGCTAAACTGTTAAGGAGTAGTTACATTGACACAGTCCTAAAAATTACATTCGGCTCTTTGAACGCCACTGTGAGGCTGATGTGGCCCTCGGTGACAATGACTCTGACAGCCCAGCCTTACAGGAAGAGCCCTTCATGAACGAGCATCAAGAGGTTCAATAACAGACAGCATTAGTAGAATCAGGCCTTCGAGAACTTCAAACACTGGAGCTACTGCATGAATGATAAAAGGAATCAACACATAAAACAAAACCTTACTGCAAGTTAACTTGCAAATTCAATAATAAAAGGACAACCCAGTAAAAAACGGGCCAAGGACCCGAACAGACATTTCTCCAAAGGGGACGTGCCATGGCCAGCAAGGACGAGGAAAGGGCTCAAGGTCAGCAGTCCCTGGGGAAATGTAAACTGGAACCCAAACGAGACATTACTTCCCACTCACTGGGAGGCCGCCGCGGAAAAAGCAGGCGACAGCAGGCGACGACAAGGATGCAGAGAAACTGGGACCCTCGCCCTCGGTCACAGGCGTGCACAAGGGTGCACTCACTTAGAAAGCCTGGCAGTTCCCCAAAAGGTTAAACTTAGTTACCACGTGAGCCAGCAATTCCACTCCTAAGTATACAACCAAGAGAAAAAACAGCCTATGTACTCACAAAATCTGCACACAAACGATGACAGCAGCATTACGCTTAATAGCGAGAAAGGGGAAACAACCCAAATGTCCCCCAGCCGACAAACGGACAAGCCAAACGCGGTGCGCCTGTACAGCGGAGCACGGCCCCTCCGTCAGGAGGAAGGACTGGCGCACGTCGCAACAGGAGGGGGCCTGGCAACCACTAGGCTGAGTGGAAGGGACCCGTCACAAAACATCACACACTGCATGAGTCCGTTTGCACGACATGCCCAGCACACCCAGGTCGAGAGACACAACATAGGGTTTCTTTTGGGGCTGGTGAACATGTTCTGAAGTTGATTTCGGTGATGATTAAAAAATCCTGTGAATATAATAAAAATCACTGGACTGTACACCTCAAATGGGTGAACTGTTATCTCAAGAAAGCTGTTAATTAACAACAGCCTTAAAAAAAAAAAGACGTACTTTTTTAAGGTTTTACTTATTTTTAGAGAGGGGGAAGGGAGGGAGAAAGAGAGGGAGAAAAACATTAATGTGTAGTTGCCCCTCACGCGCCCCCTACTGGGGACCTGGCCCACAACCCAGGCATGTGCCCTGACAGGGAATCGAACCGGCGACCCGTTGGTTAGCAGCGCATGCTCAATCCACTGAGCCACACCAGTCAGGGCAACAACAGCCTTTTTATGTGGGATAATGAAAACAACTTTATTGAGTAAACCACTGTTAGTTGGGCATTTCGTTACTTTCGGGCAGAAAAATCTTAAATTATTCACTCGCCACTGGTGAGCTGATGCTGAGAGCTGGGCGCCCGGAGGGAAGCACCCACGGCTGGGAAGTCCGCAGTGGAGCTGCCGCAGCCGCGGCTCCGCCTTGCTCGAGAGGCTGATCCAGGACAGACACAACCAGAGTGAAAGGCGAACCAGCCTTCTCTCCCGGCTTCTGGCACCCCCTCCCCGCCAAGGGAGAGAGACGAAAGCCCAGCTTTGCCGCCTTGATCAACCCTCGCAATGTGCAACGTGTTCGGCCCAGTTTTCCAGGTGGGCCCTCTCTATAAACTTCTAGGACTTCAGGAAATATTTTACTGAGTGTTTTTTCTTCCTTTCTCTCCCAAAGTACAAAACTATGAGAATGCAACGTAAGTTCCATATAAAAATCTGTATGAAATGAAAAGTGTTATGTGTTCTATAGTGACATGAAAAATATTTTAATTACATTAAAATAACTACTTTTTCAATCGAAGTTTTAGAAATGATAGGGATCCCTCAGCATCCCTTTCTTCTAGAACGGTACTTTTAAGTGGAAAAACTTTAAACTGTAGGAGCTTGTGTGGGTCAGGGAAAAGGGAGGTTTTCCAGAGACGGTTTGCTCAAGGGATGACAATTTTGAAATGACTCATGATCTTCACATACATAACATCCCTTCAGTTTTTATCAAATGTAATTGATAATGCGTTTCATAATAAAGCTATGAACACCAACAACAAGAGTCAGTAACTCAATAAAATCTTCTTGAAAAATGAGAAAAATATAGTCTGCTTTAGGTCTTTCTCTCTTTTCTATGAATTGTCCACTGTACTTCGACACGGAGAATTTAAATGGATATACAGTAGTATTTTAGTCTAAACTTTGAAACAAGAATAGAAAAACTAAGCAAACAAAAAGAAGTTAACATTAGGCCTCCAAGAGCGGCTCTTCCTAGGACAGAACTTTATCACGCAGTTGATACAAAGGGCAGAAAATCAGTAACTATATGAGATAATGACTGCAAGCAGGACAACCTGAAACCCAAATAAAACACAACAGGAGTTACTGCCAGCCTCTCGGAATCAAATGCAGGCCACAGAACCTCACCACCGCAACACACTCTCTTGACTGAAACGGAAGTTTAAAGCCCGTGTCCATAACAACGCGGTTGCTGTGGAAACACTTGACTCAACACCAAGGACTCGCCGCTGAATAAAACAAGGAGTCGAACAGAAGTCTCATTTAACTAGAGCCCAGAACCACGGAACAAGAGTGGCAAACCCAGGGCCGGTGAGTCAGAGCACCGTGAGGTTTAGTGTGAAGGCCGCGCCTCCTACCCCCACGCCGGACTCGGACAGGGCGTTTCCCTCTCACTTCGTCCCGTACCCTGGAACCCTATGCTCGCCTCCATCACCCCTCCAATGCCCCAGCTCAGGCCTCCCCAGAACATGCAGGAGCCACGGCGCCAGGAAGGGAGCCGGAACCTCTCCGCACGTAGCCGGTCCGTTCAGCGCGGCAGCGGCGGCGCCGACGTGTTCCGCACCCAGCCCCACTTCAGGCTTAGCTCTGCGCACGGGTTTGAAGACTGCAAGCACTCCAGGGGTAAAATGTGCCGGGACCGTTCGAGCGCACCCAGCAGCGCACTCACCGGTGCCCCCCACTGTCAGGCGCCAGGAGGTCAGAGCCTCCCGAGCGATGCTGCACCCCCGGATGCCCGCCCGCCCGGATGCGGTGTGGATTACTGAGCTTAGGTGTCCGCCCCCACGCCCGTCCTCCGCTTCCCTCTCCACCTCTAATCGGAGACACGCCCGTGCTGCTTCAGTCAGGCACACGCTTGACTAGTCTTCTCCTCTGGTTTTCTGAACCTTCCACATTTGAACACTCTAAAGCCAGACATTTCGCCCTTTGTAAAAGGAGAACGTGGGTGCGTGGGGCTGTTGGAACAAACGCACCCCCCCCCCCAGATGGCCCAGGGAGGCCTGGCGCTGTGAACGGAAACCGCGCTCGCTCCCCCGGGAGCCGGCACAGCCCAGGGCGTGGCCGCCCTCGGTGCGCGCACAGGAGGCCAATTCATACCAGCAGGACCGGAAAAGTTTCAGCTGGGAGCGACCGGCCGGCCGTGGAAGCAGCGGGAGCCACGGGCAGAGCGCGAAGGGCTCTGACTCTCTCTCTGCAGGTGAGTCACAGGAAACGCTGCCGCAGAGCCGGGAGGCCCGCCCGTCCCCTGCAGTTCGGAATGTAGGTCACGGCTCCCCGGGCTCGGTGCTTCGCGGGGAACAGCAGCCTGAGACTCAGACGCAGAAGCCCAAGTCCCAGGGAGCAGGGGGACTGGGCCCCCGCCTCGGCCCACCCTCTAACAACGCCCCCGCTCCCGACAACCCGCGGTGAGCTCCACCCCCCAGAAGGGACCGCACTGGCGCGCCAGGCTGGCTGGCTCTCCGCTCCAGCCGGGTTCGGGCCACTCCACGTGCTCTCGTCAGCCCTCACGGGATGGAAGGCCCCGGCACCGCAGCGCAGGTTGGGTTTACACACGGCGAGGGGCAGCTCACCCAGCTCTGTCGACACGGGGGACCCGGTGGCGATCTCGCCGATTTTGGCCACTCCATCGTAGTAGGCTTTGCCCGCCAGCACCATAGCTAGACAGGAGAGGGGAAACACAAAGTCATCACCTGGACACGGACGGGGGAGGCAACACACAGGCTCCTTTCCAGCATCCCTCAGTCCCTTTGGCGGCAGGAACGCCCGGGCTGCGACGAGGGTGGCTTCCAGAAGGCAGGGCCGGTGCTCTGCAGCTTCGCCTGGAAGAGGCCCCCAGCCCTGGGGGGCACTGCGGGGGCGGGGGGGGGACCCCTTCCTCCACCAGCCCGGGAGTCCAGAGAAGGCCCTGCCTGGGTCCGATGCCAGGTCCGGAATGGATGTGCTCCAACACAGAAGCTACGGCTTGTACCATACGTACATGCACACAAGCTCAGGAAATGTTAACGTGCGACTACACAGTTACTTCGATGGACTGAGGATAACCTCAAAGTGGAATCCTAAAAAGGACAACAGGAAGTTGCATTTATGCAGTTATCCCAAGTCGTTCCTTGGGTTGCTCTGGCCGACAACATCACCACACGGGCCAGTGAGGGTACCGCCCTGTTTCGTGAAGGGTGGGGTGGGGGGGAGGTACTCTGGGACGTTCCCAAGGTCAACGGCCAGCCAGAGGGCGTGCACACAGCTCCAGGTGAGGGACGCACTTCACGCCCTCAGCTCTAAGTTACGGCGGCTGTTGGCCCTCCAGCCGCAGAACCGAGAAAGAGACGGCTGTGCCCACAAAGGAGCTCGCGGGCAGGGAAAGGTCAGGTTCACCTGTGCGACGTTTCAGCATGGAGGTCCGGAGCCGCAGGGTGCTGACGGGCCAAAAGCACACTTGTGGGAGAATGGTGAACGGGATCACACAATATTTAAACAACACTTTCGGTTTGAACTCACATACCCAAGTGAAATTTTTCATTATCTGCTGATTTATGTTTAAAACTAACTTTCCTAATCTAGTAAAATAGCCTTGCTTTTACAATAAAGTTGAATTAACTGTAAAAATTATATAATTTATCCAGAATAAATATTTTCATAATTTTGGCCCCCTCTGTGACACATTAAGAGATTTCCCGCCATTTATTGTTTTAAGGAATGGAGCACATTAGTTCTATTTTACGTATTTAAATTCGGGGGAGGGTAACACTGGGTCACAACATTGTGTAAACTGCAGGTCTGTAGCTTCACCCGACACCTGTGTCCTCTACTGTGCGCTCGCCACCTGAAGTCTCGCTTCCTCCCGTCACCTTGTGCTTGAACTCCTTCACCCTCTCTGTTGCCCCGCCCCTCGTCCCCTCTGGCAACCCCCGCTCCGCTGTCTGCGTCTGTGAGTTCGTTCGTTTGCTGCTTTTTGGTTTACATCCCACATGAATGAAATCATATGGTTCCTGTCCATCGGACTTATTTCACTTAGAGTGATACTCTCAAAATCCGTCTGTGCTATCGCGAAAGGCAGTATTTCATATGTTCTATGGCTGAATAGTATTTCACTGTGGTGTGTACACCACACCTTTATTCCATCACCTTCAAAAGACACTTTGGCTCCTTCCATGTCTTGGCTATTATGAATAATGCTACAATAAACACAGGGACACACATATTTTTTACAAAGAAGTGTTTTCAATCTGGGGGGGGGGGGGTGGTAAATACCCAGAAGAGGGAGTGCTGGGTCATATGGTAGCTCTATCTTTTATTCTTTTAGCTTTTCTTTCATTGCCTCTAGTGACAGGGGAAGGAAGAGAGAAAGGGAGGAAGAGAAACATCGATGCAAGAGAGAAACACTGATCAGTTGCCTCTTGCATGCGCCCCAAACCTGGGACCGAACCCGCATCCCAGGCATGTGCCGCCTGGGAATTGAACTGACGACCTTTTGGTTTGCGGAACAAGACCCAACCAACTGAGCCACACCAGTCAGGGCAGGGCAGTAGCTCTATTCTTAATATTCTGAGGAACCTCCGTACTATTTTCCATAGTAGCTGCACCCATATACACTCCCACCAGCAGCACTCGAAGGTTCCCTCTTCTCCACGCCCTCTCCAACATTTGTCTCTTGTCTTATCTACCGGTAGTTGCTATTCTGAAAGGTATCAGGTGTTACTTCACTGTGCTTTGATTTGTATTTCCTTTGTAACTAGTAACATGGAACATCTCTTCCCTGCTGGCCATCTGTGTGTCTTCCTTGCAGAAGTGTTTATTCAGGCCCACTGACCACTTTTTAATCAGATTGTTTTTTGTCGTTGAGTTGTGGGAGTTCTTTATATATTGGGTTGGCCAAAAAGTTCATTTGTTTTTTTCCCCATAAGATGGCTCTAGTAGCACTTAGTTGTCTTTAACTTCATTCAAAACAATTTTGTTAGATTGCATGCTTTATTATTTCAAGAAAGGTAAAAATGTAAGCCCTGGCTGGCGTAGCTCAGTGGATTGAGCGCGGGCTGGGAACCAAAGTGTCCCAGGTTCGATTCCCAGCCAGGGTACATTCCTGGGTTGCAGGCCATAACCCCCAGCAACCGCACATTGATATCTCTCTCTCTCTCTCTCTCTCTTTCTCTCTCCCACTCCCTCCTTTCCCTCCCTAAAAATAAATAAATAAAATATTTAAAAAAAAGAAAGGTGAAAATGTAACTGAAACACAAGAAAAGATTTGTGCAGTGTACGGAGAAGGTGCTGTGACTGATCAAACATACTAAAGGTGGTCTGCAAAGTTTCATGCTGGAGATTTCTCGCGAGATGATGCTTCGCGGTTGGGTAGACCAGTCGAAGTTGAGAGCGAGCGCATGGAGACACTAATTGAGAACAATCAATGTTATATCACGTGGGAGACAGTCGACACACTCAAAATGTCCAAATCAATAAAATTATTGGCAAAAATGAAAAATGTATCTTTTGCATTATAGAAAAAACTAAACAGACTTTGTGGCCAACCCAATATTTTAGATATTGTTTGAAAATATCTTCTCCCAGTTGGCTGGCTGCCTTTTAGTTTTATTGATTGTTTCTTTTGCTCTGCAGAAGCTTTTTAGTTTGTTGTGGTCCCATTTTATTTTTCTTTTACTTCCCTTGTCTTTGGAGTCAAGTTCACCCCCCTCCCCAAACCAAGTTTAGTGCCTATGTTTTCTTCTGTTAATTTTATGTTGTGGGTGCTATATTCAAGTCTTTAATCCATTTTTAGTTACAACTTTTTTATACAGTATCAGATAACAGCATACTTTCATTCTTTTGCATGTGGCTTTCCAGTTTTCTCAACACCATTTATTGAAGAGACTTACTTTCCTTTTTCCCTGACTTGAGAATTCTTTGCCCACATATGTGTGGCTTTATTTCTGAACTCCCAATTCTGTTCCATTGGTCTGTGTGTTTTTCTTCCAAAACCAGTGCTTTGATTATTGTAGCTTTGTAGTATAGTTTGAAGGCAGAAAGTGTGATATCTCCAGCTTTGCTCTTTTTTCTCAGGATTGCTTTGGCTATTCGGGGTTTTTTTTTTGTGGTTTCAAACAAATTTGAGTATTTTTTTGTTTTATTTGTGAAAAATGCTATTGGGATTCTGATGGGGATTATATTAAGTCCATACATTGGTTCAGGCAATACGGCCACTTTCCACAATGTTAATTCTTCCAATCCATAAAAACAGAACATCTTTCCATTTCTTTGTATCTTCTTCAATTCCTTTTAATAATGTACGAGAGTATTGCAGTTTTCAGTACAGGTCTTTCACCTTCTGTTTATTCCTAGGCATTTTGTCCTTTTTGTTACAAGTATAAGTGGGACTGTTTTCCTTATCTCCTTTTCTGATAGATTTTTGTATATTGATTTTGATCCTGCAACTTTATTGTATTTATAACTTCTAGTGGTCTTTTGCTAGAGTCCTCAGAATTCTATACATAGAATCATGTCATCTGCAAATAGTGACGGTTTTACTTCTTTGTGCCCAATTTGGATGCCTTTTCTTTCCCTCGCCTGACTGCTCCGGCCAGACCTTCCATCACTATGCTGAGTAACAACGGCAAGAGTAGGCGTCCCTGCCTCGTTTCCGATCTTAGAGAAAAAGCTTTCGGTTTTTCACCGTTGAGTGCGGCGGCATTAGTGAGGGTTTGTCGTCTATGGCCTTTGCCGTGTTGAGGTGCTTTCCTTCTACACGACAGGTGGCGAGCGCAAGGCCCGAGGCCGAATCCGGCCCTCCGCCTTGTTTTTTTCAGGACTGGTGCCGTGTTTCTACCCGGCGGCAGTGCCGAGCTCTCACTCACCTGTTAAGCAGGAGTTACATTTGTACACAGTCCTAAAGTTACGTTCGGCCCTTTGGAGGCAGCTGCAAGGCTGATGTGGCCCCCCCCCCATGAAAGTGAGTTTGACACCCGTATTCTATACCCATTTTATAATTTTAGTCATAAATGGATGTTGTATTTTGTCAAATGCTTTTTTTCTGCATGTATTGATACAAGATTTTTATCTTTTGCTAATTTTTATACACGTTGATTTGCGGATGCCGAGCCACCCCTGCATCCCTGTGATGAACCCCTCTTGATCACAATGTATTATCTGTTTAATGTATTGTTGTGTTACATTTGCTAGTATTTTCTTCAGGATTTTCGGCATCTATGTTCATCAGAGGTGCTGCCCTGTAATTTCCTTCTTTGGGGCTGTCCTTGCTTGGTTTTGCATCAGGGTAGCGTCGTCCTTGCGTGATGGGCGAGGAAGTGCTCCCGCTCCCACCCGTCGGGAAAGCTTGAGAAGGGGCGGGACTAAACGTTCTTTACGGCAGGATTTGCCAGGGAAGACATCTGGTTCGGGACTTCCATTTTTTAGGAGGGTTTTGATCACTGTTTCAATTTCCTTACCAGGGATTGGTCGGTCTACTTGGCTTTTCCAGTTCTTCCCAGTGCAGTCTAGGAAGGTTACATATTTCTAAGACTTTGTCCATTTCTTCCGGGTTACCGAATTTGGTGGCATATGGCCTTTCATAGTATTCTCGTATAATCCAGTGTTTCTGTGATGTCTGTTGTAACTTCTGTTTCATTTCCTATTTTGAGTCTTTTTTTCTTTTTTCCTCAGTGAGATCACTTGCGTGAGGTATCATCTTCTCCCCCTCCACTCTGGGCCTGTGCTTTGCTCGGGAGCTGATGAGTCTCCCGCAGGCAACACACGATTGGGTCTTGGTTTTTAACCCATCCCACTCCTCTGCACCTTTCCATGGGTGCGTTCAGTCCATTTACATAGAGGGTGATTGCTGATAAATTGGGACTTACTGCATCCACTTTATCTTTTGACTTCTGGTTGCTCTGTATCTCCACTGTTGCTTTTCCCTTGTGATTCTGTCTGCTGTTTAATTTGGTGGTTTTCTGTGTTTTTTCCCCCCTTTATCCTATTTTATGTTTCACGGCTCCGCCGTGGATTGCTGTCTTGTGGTTGTAAAATATCTCACACATACAATAGTACTTCCTTTTCATTGCCTCTTTTCTTCATTCACCTGTACCCATTCAGTCCTTTTCCTCCTCCCCTTTTCTGATTTTGTCACAAATTTCCCCCTTTTTTATGTTGCCAAATCGTACTCATTACCCACATTGCATACTTATTTTAATGTCCCCTTTCCCCTTTAACCTTTCTGTCATAATTGTTTAATAACTTATCCTGAAGTAGATTTACAGTTTTCTGCTTCTGTCTGTTAATCATCTTACTCAAAGTTTTGCATACTTCTTTTTGTTTTTCCCCAACAGAAGAGTTCCTTTCGATGTTTATTGCAATGAAATGTTTGTGGTGGCAAATTCTCTCAGCTTTGTTTATCTGAGAAAAACTTTATTTCTCCTTCGTAGTTAAAGGATAGCTTTTTTGGATAATATTATCCTTGGCTGATGGTTCCTCTTTTAGTATTTTGAATATTTCCTTCTACTCTCTCCTGCCTTGCAATGCTTCTACTGAGAAATCTGATCATAACCTGATGAGGTTTACTTTGTACATTAGTCTCCCCCCCGCCCCTTACTGCCTTGAGAACTCCCTCTCTGTCATTGACTTTGAACAGTCTGAGTGACTGGTGTCTTGGACAAAGTCTTTCCGTGCTGATCCAGTCAGATTCTGTCAGCTCCCCCCATTCTGAAGCACGGCTCTCTGCAGGCCGCAGAGGCTCTCGTCGGCCATCCCTCTGAGCAGACGCTCTGTCCCCTCTTCCTCCTTCTCCTCTGCACGCGCCTAGGACCTTGGGTTGCTCTCGCTGGTGTAGTCAGCGAGTTCTCGAGGGGGTCTTCCTTCCATCCTCTTACACGCTCAGTGGGTCCTCCAGGGTCCTTTTTGGGTTTCTGGCTTTGAGTTAGCTAATTCTCTCTTGCACCTGGTCTGCTCTGTTTCCAACACGCCGATGCATTCCTCGTTTCCTTCATTAAGTTCTCCAGCTCCAGAGTTTTGGCTTAGTTTTTTTTTTTTTTATTATTGCTTCAACCTCTTTGGTAAAGTGCCCCTTTCGTTCATTCATTCTGTTCCTCGTTCAGTAAACCAGCTTTCTGAGTTTCCTCGTATACCCCTGAGTTTCTTATAACTGCAATTTCGAATTCTCTGTTATTTTATTCACTGTCTTCCGTGACTTTGATCTGGTTTCTGGAGACTTCTCATTTTCTTTCTGTGCTCGCCAGTTACCTCGGCCACGCTGTTTGGTGGGCTGTTTCTTTGCCTGGGCCTTTGAGGTGGAACTCTCCTGTTTAGATACGCTTCTTCTCTCAACAGTGCATTGGGCTGATAGGGATGGTGCTTTCTTTTGTTTTCCAGTAGATGGTGCTGTATTGCAAGCTTTTGTTTTCTCTCACTCGCACTGTTTGTACTGCTGGGATCTCGGGCGTCCTCTCTGTGATCAGCTCCCCTTGGTTATGGGGCACCGCCGCTGTGGGAGGAGAGTGGTTTTGTGAACTCCCGGAGCTCCCTCCTCTTTCTGCTGTTTGTGGTTTTACCGGGCTGTGCCAGGGTGTGTGGGGAGAGGAGGCCAGTCCGCTATCTAGCAGTTTTGCCCCACCCTTCCCTGGGTTGTTTACAAGTTCCCAGCCACCTCTGCTGCTTCTGCTTCGAGAGGGGAGGGGGAAGGCAGATGCCTTGTCGGAGAGCAACACTGCTCTGGTCCGCAGCAGGGGTTGGAACTGCAGCTCCATGCTCCCCCATGATGCTAGATGGAGCAGCGGTGGGTGCCTGGCTGCGTCCCTGCCCACCCACAAGGCTGCCTTCGGATGTCCCAGTGCACGGGTCTTTCTGGTCCGTCGTGTGAACAGGGGATCCTGTGCTGAGTGACAGTTGAGTGACTTTTAAATTTAAGGGGAGAAACAATGGAATCTTCTTACTCTGCCACAAGGCTGACAGCACTCTCCTATTAGTGTTATTTTAGTGGCTGACCAGCTACTTCATCAATTTAATCTACGTACTTCTACCAGATAATTTTTCCCTAAAATATGATTTCATTACATTATAGTTTTGCTAAAAAACCTTTAAGGGCCTCCCATGGCTCAGAGAGTGAACCCCCACTCCAGAGTCCATGACAGATTTCTACATAATGGCCTTCGATGAATCACACCTTGCAGAACTCCCATCCTGAGTAGTCCTCTACACACAGAGGAGTGGCTTGGTCATGTGACTTGCTTTGGCCAATGGAGAATCACCAAGTGTAATTCCTGCAAAGGCTTGCACTCTTAGAGCAGGCTATTATGCCTGCAGGAGGGCATGAGCCCAGCAGCCCTCAGCCCCACGGGGGACTGTGGCTGCAGGCGCGAGGCCGAGGGGTCCAGCGAACTGCACTGCCTTTATAATAAACTACCGTTGTCTCATGCCACCGAGTTGAGGGGCAGTGTATACCGTGGCAATAGACAACTGAGGCTGCACTGGAGTGCATTAACACTCCGACTCCACCCCACCACATGTTTCAGCACCCCCCGACAGGTGCTCACCCATGCCGGTGCGGACCCCAGGTCTTGGCCTGGATGCGGTGTTTTGTGCCCGCAGCGCTGGCGCGCAGCCATCTGCCCGCTGAAATCTAACGTCTGTCAGCTGGCTCATCGCCCCGCCTCCGCCGCTCAGACTGGGGGGCACTGCCCATCCCATGCCCTTTGTGGGCTGCACACGTCCACGTTGCTTACAACCTAATCTGCCTGATCTGGCATCCTTGGCTGTACTGACAATTCCTACCAGGGGCTCTACAATTTATCCAAGTTTCTCGGTGGTTCCAACAAAACCCAGATGGTCTGCAGACATTCTGGAAATACCTTACGAAGCACAGAATAGTCCCCGGAAAGTGTTAAAGCGGTAAGAGCCCTTTGGGGAGAAGCCGCTTTAGCAGGGACGGAGCCGCAGGCTGTCGCTGGGCTGCCCTGTGGAACTCGGCCTCAGGAAGGCAGCACATGCCGGAGAGAAACAATCACTGCGGGCCTGGAGACTGCCTTTACCGGGGCGTCTGCAGCAAGGACTCTGCGGCCCCGTGACTAAGCACCCGTCAGGGGACGGTCAGCCGTGCCAGACTCCTGCCCTTTGAAGGAGGGAGGGGCCGCCCGCAGGAGTCACCCAATCACGGGTGCTGCTGCAGGGTGACAGATCCCAGGACCGCCACAGTTCCTGACACGGGAAATGTCTGGCAGGCAGCAGAGATCCAGAAGTAAGTAAGCCGTTTGCTTTTCCACTGACCACAACAATGGGGCGCTCATCATCCCCAGTCCAGTCCGCACGGCCTCCAACCCGGGGCGCGCTCCTGTGGGAGCCGTGCAAGGCCACCGGTTTATGGCAAAAAACCGACAGAGAGCACCCGAGGGTGGGGCACGGTAAAAGTTAGAAAAATGAGACACACCCATATTTTTCCGTGCATAACGCGCACCCACGTTTTTGGCCCAAACTTTCAGGGCAAAAACCTTTTGCTTTAATTTTGTGATTCAATTATTTATTTGTTTATATTTAGGAACAAAACTGATGATCACATTCCGGGGTATTATTTTGCATACAGATGTTATTGCTTTTTAGAGTTGCCCTTTTAATGCGTAAGCATAAATAAAAGAATTAAAAACATTTATATATATAGGTGCGTCATTAGGACTACCCACGTATAATGCACATCCTTATTTTCCCCTCAAAAATTTGGGCCGAAGTGCACGTTACACACGGCAGAATAAGATATAAAAAGACACAAAACTTCATCTGAAGCCCTTTCCAGACCGAACCAGTGGAAGCCAAGTGTCCTACTCACGTTCCTTGGTGGTCCCAATGAACCAGGGTCGAGGGTGAAATCGGGGTCTGAATATTTGGGGGGCGACTTCTGCTACCAAGGGGAAACTGTTTTGACCATGCTAGAATCTGGTGACTGTCAGCACCTCAGGTTTTCACGGCGGCCGTCGACAACGCCCGCCTTCCGGCAGGAAAGCCCTCCACGCGCGTGTGGAGACGCGTGTCAGCTTCCTCGGGCGGGGACGCTGCAGACCAGCCCATACTGCTGGCTCTCCAAGGGAGACCACAGCAGCCAGTGCCCACCTTCGTTTTCAACAAGCATTCGCTTTGACATGAGAATCTAGGTTCAGCCTTCAATGTAGATGTGTTTCCATTCAGGCTAGAAATTTTACTGCTCACGTTACGATCAAAAGCGATATACCCAAAAGGCAAGGAATTCTTCGATATAAAGAAAAGGGTAATTCCTATGCTGCAGGATACTAAAGTAAATATTTTACGTACACATTTTCAATGTTCTTAGTTCATAAATAATTCGGTTGAAGAAGCAGAAAACACATTTATGGCAAAGATTTCAAAGACTGAACCATGTCAAAAAATATGACTTGATAATTAAAATACAAAACTCATACAGCTGCTTATTCAATTTACTCATTTCAAATATACTAATATTCTATTATTGCAGAGTTGTGTAGATTACATTACGTGTAAATAATTTCCATCAATTTAAAGGTATTTTTAAAACCTCTACATCAAGCATTTAAAAACAATTAGTAAACTACTTACTGAATACATGCTCTACATTCATACATTTATAAAACAGAAAGACTTACCATTAACAGCTTTTTCATAATTTTTTCCTAGGTTTATTAAATTTCGCAGCCGTGGGTTGAACTGCTCCATAACATTCTGGCAAACGAACAGAACAAACGAGTTAGTAAAATACGGGAACAGGAGACCGAGCGGTCTCCAGATTCTGTCGCCCCACAGCCGGGGACACCCACGCGTGCTGGACAGCACGGCCGACGAGGACAGGGCGTGAAGGCCGACCTGCAGGTCGTGCGGCCACACGTCTCCGAGATGACGGATCGGGGTGCTCGCGCCGCAAGGTGTCCGTGACCCCGGCGGTTCCGCAGGTGCCCGCGGGCGCCGAGACCCTGCTGGGAACGGAGCAGGCGGCAGGCGGGCTGCCCCCCAAAGCGGACCCTGCAGGTGCCGTGAGCCCGGAAACTGGTGCCACCTTTGGGTTTAAGTGGATCAATGGCTGTCATCCCAGGGATCGGAATTGAATTGCATGGGCAGCGTTGTGGCTGTCAGCTGGACAGGAATTTGGAAGAGGTTTTGTGTTTACTGTGCCTCGTGGCTGGGGGAGGCAGTGGGGGTGAGTGTCGCTGGTGGCTTTAGGACACTTTCTAGGTGGTCACTGTTGCCCCCCTCAGGAATCAGCTTATTTGTTGAATGCGGATGGAGCGACTACTGCGTGCGCGGTCCTGTGCACAGCAGTGGGCGGACGGACACGGCTTCCCCTCGTGGGCGTCCCGGTGCCACGGCTCTGCAGATGTCGGGTGTCTCGTACACTTAGAGACAAACTGCTGTGACAAGTGTAAGACAGGCAATTGTGTGGAATGTGACTGTAAGTCTAAAACATCCTAAATCTGAAGCGCACACCAGGAATCCTTCCCAGGGGAGTCTGGCCTGACTCAGAACACACACAGTGACTGAAGACATCTGTTCCCCCCACAAACAGTGAGCTTCACTCACTCCAGACAGAAGACGCTTGAGCCCCGATCCCAAAGTCTGTAACGTTGGTAGAGGACCAGGACATGGAAAGAATGAAAAACTCAGCAGCATTCAAAGGGGCAGATACTTGACACACGCCACGTGGGGTCCAGAGGTTCTCGGTTACGAGTTAGCAGAGAGAAAACATCACTCTTATTTTATCAGGCAGTCATGAAAGCGTACCATGAAAAATCACCCCGCCTCGCCTTTCCCCACGCCTAGCCTTACTCCTGAGGGCCCTCTTAGAGGTGCAGCTATTCTTGTACCCACTGCCACAGGTTTGAGTAGTCTTAATTTCTCAACACTGGGCAGTGACTACAGGCTTTCTGCCACCGTAGACGAGGATTGGCTCTCCACATCACCCCACTTTCCTCTCCCCAGTCCTTCCTCCATGGTTGAATGGCAATTTCCTGGTAAGTCAACAGCCAGGTTTTATGATTACTTTGTAAATATTTGCCACTACTAGGCAAGGAATGGACCGAGGACTGCAGCCACTCTCTTGGTGCAGCGCTTTTGTTTGATCACTCCCTCCCCTTCCTCATGCTTGTGCTCCATTTGCGTCCTCCCATGTGTTCTGTCGGATCTAGCAGAGGTCTGTCAATATGATTTTTTCAAACACACAAAGCTAACAGCTAATCTGCCATTCCATTCCCCCCCCGAACTTCCTCCAAGGACTCCCCAGCCTTTTGCTCAGTCTGGCCTGGGTGTCCCCGCTACGCCGCTGCCCTTGTAAGTCCCCTTCTGGTCCCCTGTGTCACAGCTCTCATTAGCTGGACTCCACACTGTCCTCTTCCTTTATTCCTGCTTCCCGGAGGTCACCCGCCAAGAATGACCCACGAATTGATGCATGAGGTATACCTGAGTGCCCATGCACGTGAAATTATTTTTGTCTTGACATTTGATTGATATTTTGCTGGCTAGAGTATTATAGATGGACAGTGATTTTTCCCTTAGGATTTTTAAGAGACTGCTCCACCGTCTTTACTATCCAGGCTTGCTATCACTGCTTCTTCTTTCTATCTGATTTTTCGGGGCGGGCGGGGTTAGGGGGGCTCATTTCTGGAATAATACACAATGGTCGGTCTCACCACAGGTGCCTTTTTTCATCTATTTCACCGAACACTCAAAATACCCCATCTGACTACACAGAAAATTACGTCCTTTGGTCTGAAAAATGTTCCCATTTCGTTTCTTGTCTCTTCATTTTTTTATGGCATTCTGATGAAGACTTTATACATCCTGGAGTTATTCTCCAAGAGTTTTTCCTCTGATTTTCCACCTTTTGTTCTGTATCTCGGACAGATACCCTAGACTTTACATGCCAACTCTCCTACTGTTTAAAACTTTAATTTGGGCTCTGTCAAGATTTTTTATTACTCCTTTTCAAAAGCATCCCGTTTTTGTCTTATGGATGCAATACTGTCTCATTTGAATAAACTGTAATTTTGGGTATTTCCTTCCAGTTCCCCACGTTATGTCCTGATTATTTCTTCTCACTGTTTGGTGTCCACCTGTATTTTGTGTTGAAGGGGTTCCTCAACTGCCTGGTGATCCTTGCCTAGTTCATGTCGAAGACTGAGCCCCAACACACAGGCTGGAAACCTGTGGGCGTAGTTATGAACGCAGGGCGGCCATGGACTAGCGGGCTTCACATGGAGGTCAGCGGCAGACAGACTGGCCATGGGACAGTAACGAGAGGCCACTGGGTCATTCCAGAACTGTTTCTAATTTCCTGTCATTGGGTTGGGGAGGGGCAACCACCAGGAGACGGGCTTTCCGAGTCAGGAAGGGGGCTGGGGATCCCAGTTCACCGAGCTGACTTTTACTGGATTCCCACGTTCAGCTCTGAGTTTCACTCCCCTCCACCCGTGGCTGGTGTTTCCGAGTCACTATATTCTGAGCGCAAATCCCCGGCCCGCCCGGCAGAGGGCGCCACTGTCAGCAGTGGTGGCTGGGGTTCTCTCGGGGCGGTGACGGGTCCCCTCTCCCGGGTCCTCTCTCCGTTTCCTATCACCCCAAGTTTCTTTAGACCTTTTCTCAACGGCTATTTCCATGTTCAGATTGCTACACTGTGGACGTAAAGGGTCTTTTAAAAAGTTCCTTTGCCATCATTTTACTCATTTTCATGTACCCTCAGAGAAAAAGAGCAGAAAAACACCTGCGGTCCACCTGCTCTGTCCGGCTGACACTCGTCCGTATTGCGGGAGCAGCCGCTCCGGCGGGAGGGACGCAGCCGTGGGAGCCTCGCTCACGGCCGGTGGCCGCCCAGCCCCGAAGCCGGCGCTGCCCCTCACCAGCCTCCGGGTCCGGGCAAGACGGCAACCCGCGGCACCCGGACCCGCGCCTGTGCCGCAGCTGCTACTCTCCGCTCTCCCCTCCAGTTCCTTGTTTTGCTTTCAAGCTTTTCGTTCTGAAATAGTTTAAGAGTCACAAGAAGGTGTAAAGATTGTACGGGGCTCTCACGTATGCCTCTCCCAGAGCCAGCTTATAAAGCCACCGCGCTTTACGAAAACCAGGGGACTGACAGGGGCACACACTGCTCACTGAACTGCAGGCCTGACTCGGATCTACCGGTTTTTATGTTGCCTTTTTTTTTTAAGCGGTGCACTGTGTCTACGGAATTTTATCACATGCACAGACTTGTATAGCCACCGCCACAATTATAATACAGAACTGTTCCATTAGCACAAAGATCTCCCTCATGCTACCCCTTCGTAGCCACAACCCCCCCACCAACCCCAACCCTTGGCCATCACCGATCTCGGCTACTGAGACTGCCCTTGTAAAAGTGCTATACAAACGGAATCACGTGACCTTCCGAGACTGGCTTCCTCACTGAGCACTAAGACCTTAAGTACCATCCAAGTGGTTGAGTGGATCAGTTTAGTCCTTTTTTTTTTTTTTTTTTTGGGTGCTAGTGGTATTCCATAGTATGGAAGTATCACAATTTGCTCATCCACTTATCCACTACACATCTGGGTTGGTTTCCAGCTTTTGTCAATTTCCAACGAGGCGGATACGGACGCTCACTGATCGGTTTTTGTGTCAATACAAGGGTTTGTGTTCGTAAGACAAACACCTGGGAGTCCCACCGCTGCGTCATCTGGTCGGTGTATGTTTAACTTCATGGGCAACTGCCACACTGGTGTCCAGAGCAGCCGCACCACACTTCCCGTTCTCATCAGCAATGTATGAGATGTCAGTAATTTCAAAAATCTAGTCATTTCGGCAGAAGATGGTTACCTTCTAATAAATAGATAAAACTGTTTTTCAAATATCTCACTTAAACTTCTTATGAGACCAAGTCTGGATGATAAGACTAGAAGTTCTGATAAAAAGATAAAGTTAAGTTTAAAATATCACCTAAAACAATAATCTTATGAGGCTGAGCCTAGATGGTAAGAATATAAGGAAAGTGATACGGAGTTCTACTGGGAAACACTTTAATTAAGACTTGAGAGAGCACAGTCAGCCTCACAGAAAATACAAGAGTTTTTAAGCTTCAACATTTAACGTATACTTCAATTCTTTACTATTGAGGTTTAGCTCCAGAAATTTCCCCTGTAAATTTTGGCCTCTTTGAACAGTGGGAAACCCACTGCTACACTGGCGCTTGGCCATTAATTTAGTTATTTTAACTGAAGTACAAGTATTTTTAAACCCCAAAAGAAAAAAGCAGTGCTGTGTTTGTGTTCCACAACCCACATGATATTACAGTAGCAGTGGGTGTCCTTGGGGATTGGACGGGTTCCCTATTTTTTTTTGGGGGGGGGGGGAGGACGGCGGTTAGGTCAAAGGTCATGCTGTGTCAAGGCTTGAGCCCTGAGTTGTTCATGAAGCCTAAAATTCAGCGAGAATCACAAGTAGTGATGAACGAATCCATTTTACTTTAATTTAAATTAAGAGTAAAAGGCTCAAGATACCAAGTATGGAAACAGAATAAATTACAAAAGGCATTCACTGGCCAAGAAGCACTACTTTATTATAATCAATAACAAAAGCTCAGTATGTATTCCACCCGTTACTGCCTGGCAAGGAGGCTAATTTGCCAAACTAGTTTCAACCAGGGCAAGTCTCATGTCCACTCAGAGGAGCATACGGACAGTCTGGGCTGAAACGCAATGACGGCC